AATGGAAGATCTTCTACATAAGATCTAGTATCCATGGGGAAATTGGTATTGCGGAGCCAGGAATGTCTCCTAAGAGCTATTGCAGAGGCCATGGTTCTGGAAGATGCCTCGAGGACATGCTTAGTCAAGTTGAGCTGTTGTTTTGCCAGTACCATTCTTTCTTTTTGGATGACTCTAGCTGCCTGAAGTTTGTCTTCTGGGAGGTGGGTCAGTAGTTCGGAGAACCGTTCCCAGAGAGTATATTGATACCTATTCATGCAGGCCAGGTAGTTAGTGGCCTTGACTCCCAATGCTCCCGTGGAGTAAAAGCGTCTGCCAAAGGCATCTAATTTCTTACCTTCCTTGTCAGAAGGTGCAGAATGTGTCCTCTTGGATTTAGAGGAAGATTTTATCACCATCGAGTTTGGTTGAGGGTGTGAGAATAAGAATTTGGCGTCTCTTAGACCCTATACATATGGTCCAGTCGTCTCGTAGACACAGGGGCTGACGAGGGTTTTAGCCATGGTGCCTTTGCTGCTTGCAGAAGGACTGAAGACATGGGCAATGCCAAGGTGGAAGAGATATCAAGCTGGACTATATCATAAATGGCATCAGATGCCTGCGGATGTTACTGGAGGACAGAGAGGCCTAAAGAGTGGGCCATTCTTTTAACTAAATCTGTATACGATGTAAGGTTGTCGGATGGGGACATCCTGGTTGGGAGATTTACGGTCAGGAGAGGTATGAGCCTCAGAAGCTTCCGTCTCCGAGTCTTCTTCCATGGAGTCAGAGGAGTCTTGGTGTATTTGGACTGAAGTGTCCTCTTGACAAGCTATAGGTTTTGGTGGAACGACAAGGGTTGGAGTGACCTGCGGGTTGGGAAGACGACTTGGTTCCAGACTATGGTGGGAAGGATTGTCTGCAGGAGGACGAGACAGAGATGCGGAAGGTCTCAACTTGTGGGGCGATCTCGATCTGTGAACAGAGTGGGACGAATAGCGATCCCAATCAGAATAGCCCGCCGGAGTCAACCATGGCATGGATGGTGTATAAGCCCCGTACAGGTACCTCAACTGTCGCTGATCCCACAATATCGGTGGTGGAGGGGGCAGGAAGACTCGGGGAAATCAACTTCTGGACCGTTGACATCTGGGAGACAAAGCAGTAGCTTGTCTGTGAGAACCGTCCCTGTAGTCTCGGTCGTCAATATCGACAGATTGAATATTGAGACACGGAGGATGACATTGCATACTGCAAGAAGTGTGTCGGTATCGACGTGTGTCGACATCGGGAGCCTCCGATATCATCGATGCCAACGAAGTCGAAGGAGAGAGGGAAAGCTCTGCACCCATTTGGTGACTTAGGAGCTCCACCGTGTCGATGTCGGAGTACGGATGCTCCACTTGTTGGATGGGGGAATCCAGTAGTTGGATGGTCGGTATCGGCGGAGGGAGTTGGACCTCCGATATCGATACTGCCGTTGGAGCGGGAGGCACTATAGGGGCATCACCCAGTGCAGGCACCGCTTCCTTCCCCTTCTTCGCCGCCTTAAGGGGCTTGGAGGCGCCCTTTTTTGCAGACTTGTGATCTTTACTCACCTTGGTCTTCTTTTTGATTGGCGTGGATGCAGAAGATTGTGACTTCGATGCCGGAAGCTTCGGTGTCGGGCGGTCGGCATCGGAGGCAGGTCTCGATGCCGGCACTGTTGATGTTGATGGTGTCTCTTCCATCGCAGTGGTAGGAGTAAGTGCCGATTCCAGCAGTGCTACTTTAAGTCACGCAGCTTGATTTTTTCGCGTTTGATTGGAAAAACGAGCGCAATGACGACAGAACTCTGGCTGATGAGACTCTCCGAGGCAAAAAATGCAGAGGGTATGACGGTATGGAGGAGCAAGTTTGCTGCCGCAACCCTTGCACCTATTGAAGAAACCCCACTTCTTCTCCATAAAAGAAAACGAAGAAGAGGGAACATTTGAGGGGGGGTAGGCCGAAGGCCTGAAGTAACCGGCAGAGTCCCCCTCAACAGAAAGTAAAAAAAAAAATTAAGAACAAACAACAAAAAAGAAAAGGAAAAGGAAAAATAATAAAAGGGAATAATTCCTAAGAGCTGAGGCAAATAGCCAAAAGCAACCGATCTGACCGACGAAAAATAGGTCTATTCAAAGCGGTGGTAAGAAAGGAACTGGCGGGATGTCCACGCCCACCCCTCTGGGCATGCGCGGTGGGGTTCCTGCACATGCCCGAGGGACTGGGCGCAAAAAATCGTTAAAAAGAGTTTGCCACAGCACCGATCGATCCAGCGCGTACGCACTAGATCCCATGGGTGTGAAGCACAGAGACCACGTCGAAGATCGAGTAGTTTTGGGATGAATGCCAAGGAACTGGCTGGGGGTTTAGCTCATTAGGACTTGGCTATAAATTTAGCCAGGAGAAGCATCTGTTTGTGGACACAATGATTACACTTTGTTACTGAGCCACTAACCTTGCCACTACTGGACCTTTGCAACCTTGAACTGGACCTGACAATGGGCTTTTCTGGAACCCCTGACCTCAAACTGAACTTGGACTTGCTGCCTGGAACTCCTTGACCCTAGACTGGACTTTGGTAAACCTGCTCTCTGGAACCCCTGACTTTTGGACTGGACTTTGGTTACTCTCTGCAACCTTGCCTGTGACTTGCCCTGGTGGACTCCAGCCCGTGCCTCCTGGGGAAGCTGCACCAGTACAACTATGCTATGCTGGCTAATAATAGTACTTCTGCTAAACATTACTTAAACATTGCTAATAAACAGTACTCACCTGGCTAAATGAAGGAAGTAAGAATTGCTTCCAAGTGAAGTTACTCCCCCCTTCAGTCCACAAGTGATTAATATGCATGGACCGGTGAGCTAATGACTTATGGCATCATTTGCAAAGCAATGCTGAATAGCTAACAAACTCCAGATGTAGTATATAGTTATTGATTTAGCGGTATGCACTTCTATCCCTCACTCTCTCTCCACATTCATAAATTAAATTAACAAAATAGAAAACAATGACCCATGGAATCATCACCATCAAAGCAGCCAAAACTTGGATAATGTCTTTCCAAAATTCACTTCGTCCCATTTCAAGCTGTTCTTCTGTGGCTAGCTCAGCTGTATGTTTGAGCCAAACCTAAATTCTAGAGTTACAGTGGAATTTCTGGTAGTCTTGAAATCAGTGCCTTTCTGCATCCAAGACTGCTGAATATTTACCAGCAGTCTAGACATCTGAACAGTAACGATACATGACCAAAGTCAAGTTTGTGTATTGTGTCACTGCAACTACTTGAAGCAAGATCTCTGCACTGGCGAGAGCATCCATGTTAAAGATTACCCCCCATCTCTTTTCCTCCCCTCTGCTGGTGTCTTCATCAATTGCCAGTTTTAGACTTTCAAAAAGAAATAAAACAAGAAGCTGAAGCTCTCCTAAGGGCATAACTGGGTTATAAACTTAGGGACACAGTAAATTCTCCCAATGGCAAATGGCCTTCCTCTCTGGCAATGGCTTCTTCATCTCATGCCCAGACCAAAACTTCCTGTCTCCGTCATGGGTTCTCATCAAAATAAAAAGAACTTGGAGAACAGCTCTGGTTTGGAGAAGGTTAAGAAACAACAAGAATCTCTCCAATTTTCAATATGCTGCTGTAGATTTTCCGGGCTGCATGGCCGTGGCCTTGGCATTGTAGTACCTGACGTTTCACCAGCAGCTGTGACTGGCATCCTCATAGGTATAACAGAAAGCTGGAGTACTCTCTGTGTCAATGTGAGAAGAAAAATGGTAGGCAGCAATGCTCCCTCTAAGCTGTGGAGTCTTGTGAGCAAAAATTCTACTTTGTGAGCAATTGGCATTAATGTTGTGAGAGAGTGATTTGGCTACTGCATAAATTAAGCTGGAGTCATCCTTCCTGAGCTAAGACAAAAATGTGTGAGCCAGAGGCTAAAAAACTGCGAGCTATCTCACACTTACTCAGCTTAGGGGGAACACTGGTAGGCAGGTAATTTATATCTGCTCAGGAAGGTGGGGTAGGAACTGAGTCATTATCTTGTAGAAGTCTCCCAGGCTGTGACATGCTAATAGAGGAGCTTTCCTGAGGAGGTTCTACAAACAGTATTCAGAGCCACCAGAAAAATACAACAGAGGCTACAAGCAGCAAAAGACAGAAGAGATCCCCTCACTTCTGCAGGAGTATACCACATACCCTGCAGTTGTGGACAGGTTTACATCAGGACCACACAGAGTAGCAGCCAGACAAGAAAAAAAGAACATGAAAGAAACTGCAGACTTGGCCAACCTGAAAAATCAGCAGTGGCTGAACATAGCCTAACTCAAACAGGACACAGTATCTTATTCCAAGACACTGAAATGCTGGACAACACATCTAATTACCATGTCGGATTACACAGGGAAGCCGTTGAAATTCATAAACATAAACACAATTTGAATAGGAAAGAAGAGAGTTTAAAAATAAATAGGGCATGGTTTCCTGTCCTGAAAAACACAAAATGCTCTACATCTTACAACAGCACTACAAATAAGATTAGAATTTCAACAGCCAATCCCATATGCAAAAGAACCTCCTCAGGAAAGCTCCTCCATTAGCATGTCACAGCCTGGGAAACTCCTACAAAATAATGACTCAGCCCTACCCCACCTTCTTGAGTAGATATAAATTACCTGCCTACCATTTTTCTTCTCACCTTGACACAGAGAGTACTCCATCTTTCTGTGTTATACCTCTGAGGATGCCAGTCACAGCTGTTGGCGAAACGTCAGGTACTACAATGCCCAGACCACAGCCATACAGCCTGGAAAATCTAAAACAACTAATCTCCAATTTTCCTTACTTTTTCCATACCCAAGAGTAAATGACAGAAAACTACTAGCACTAGCCTCTAAATTTCCATGCAAACTGCTGTGTGTTAGTGAGAGAAGGGGTAGGCTGTATGAACCCCTGTTGCTATCATGTATTATTTAAGCATACATTGAATTGGTCTTACCTTTCTAGCAAATTGTGGATTGCTTTGAAAAGGAGAGTTCTGCACTCATAGGAAAGCCCATTCTCCCAAAGTCCTTCTTCCACCACTGTGAACATAAACAAACAAAATGTTTGTATATTTTTCAAGAAAATTTGGGGGGGGGGGGGGGAGGGCTAAGACAAATGGGTTAAAGGGACAGAAGAACCTAAGGAAGAATAACCAAGTAGATTTGGTGCTGAAAAATATACATCTGAAGGAAGGAAGGTGCAGGAGGTTAGAGACAAAGAAGGAATGGGACAGAAAAGGCATAGCACTGAG